CCCAAACTTCAGTGGTTCGCCACAAATCTGAAAAGCAGCAAAAATAATTTCTACATGGGGCATCCCTTTCCATGTCAAAGGTCACTAATTACCCGAAACCGCAACGAAGGGGAAAAAAAATCGAATACTGCATCTATTTTGTGAGCGATGTTAACAACATACTTCCTCATCCTTTCCGGTGAAATGGCCATCGACTGACGGAGCCAAGAGGCAGCGGTGAAGAGATGCGAAAATTAAGTGAAATTTGGCCTCTGCGAAAGGCTGCGTTCTATTGGTCACTAATCAAGGGTATCAAGGCCAGTAAGAGGGACACGTACAAATGCAAAAGAGAAAAAGAAAGAGAGAGGACGCGGTGTACAGAAAAAGCAAGGAGGAATTTAGTGGATAATTATGTCGGGGCTGGAAGATTCGAGAAAGGTTAGTGGTGGTCAGGTTAAAAGTGACACGGACACGGATTCAGGTTAAGAGAGAGACACGGACTCAGATTCTAATGTGTTGTAACGAAATTTAATGTAATGACCTCTGACTCTTAATGGCGCTGTCTGAGCTGAGCAAATGGACAGTGGTAAACTGGAAGTAGGTCAAAAACATCTGGAAGCTTGTGTGTTGTTGTTCGATACACATGCATCTAGGTGGGATAGAGGTACGGGGTTTTAGGAATGGCTTTTGCTTCGGTTGATAACGCAAAAGGGATATGCTTAAGGTGTTTTCATTTAACCCTTGCACTCTACAGAGATTGTTCTAAGTACTAATAAGTTATATACTTGCGTTTATTAAATGGATACAAATTGTTCGGAATTGATTCATCCTGTGATTTAGGAGGCAAATAATTTCATAAGGCTATAAAATAAATCGTTTGTCACCAAAAATAATTTCATTGTGGTTGCAATTGTTTTGGGGGTTTTATTTTTTCCCGCGGAAAAATTAAGAATTATACAAAAGCGGAAAAAATTCTAACCGTGAAAAAAATCAAACTCGGTCCCGGTAAAATAAACACGAAGCCTATTTTGCCGACCCGCTAAAACAGACAGCAAGGATATTTTCCCGGTAAAATAGACATCAAGACTATTTTGTCGGTTCTGGTAAAATCGACACCAAGGTTATTTTGCCGGCCCTGGTTAAAATCGACACCAGGGCTATTTTGCGGGTCCGGGTAAAATAAACATGAATATTATTTTGCCAATTCCCGCTAAAATAAGCAGCAAGAATATTTTACCGTTCCCGGTAAAACAGACACCAAGGATATTTTACCGGTAAATATAAACAGTGTTTTAGAACTAAGAATATTTTCAAGACCGTCAACAGTGGATGTGTGAGCTCTGTAGGCAGGACATGAACAATATGGATTCAATGACCTGGGTCTGTTGATGTGTATTGGTAAGAGAACCACGCCCAAGGGCTAGTTTGGGATTTACAGAGAC